TGGGCCAACATTTCTAAAGAATGCTTTCAGCACCTTGTTGAATCAATGCCACGTAGAATTAAGGCAGTTCTAAAGGCGAAAGGGGGTCAAACACCGTATTAGTATGGTGTTCCTAATAATCCTTTAGGTGAGTGTATATCGTCATATCTCACAGCTCTATACGTGACTATCTTGCCAAGGAAGGGATTCAAACCAGTGACCTTCCAATCACAGTCACGTAGGCCTAACCCACTGAGTCATAAACTGTATATTCATTCACTTTTGTTTTTCAATCATTTAGTCACATATTACATTTAATTTTAAAGGAGATTGTGAAGATTGCTAAGGTGCTGTTATATTTCACAAAAACTGAAGCAATAAGAATAATTTTCATAGTAAGTCCTGGCATTGATACTGACTGTATGCCAAACCTGTATGCCACTACCAAGCATCTTAATACATACTAACACTAAACTTGATATAAAATAGAGTGTATTGCAGTATCTGCTTATAAATATAACAGTATTTCGTGTCTTAATGGTCTACATGGTGGGAAAAAAATTTAGATTTATGACACAAACTTAATAACCTGAAAGGAAATAATGTGTGATGCGTTTTGAATCTGCTATCTAGGATATCAACATCTCAGACATTTGAATTTTTCAAACACTGACAGCACTATCCAAGGACATTTTAGTAAGAAAGACTATCTTTGCTATTTCATGAGTGAAAACGCATCATACGTACCTTTTACTTATTTCCAGGTTTACAATTTGACTTGCGATCGAAAAGCCTTCGTCATTTAGTCGTTCCCATTTAAAAATAAAATTATGCAAATCAGCTGCGATGTTTTTCAATTTCCTTACGCTGCCAGTTAGACATGGTTTTCTTGCTGATGAAACGACACCTGGCTGTTTAGCTGAAAGGGGGATAATAATCTGTAGCTCACTGTTGATTACCGTTACCAGCATAAAGAATCCGCCGATACTATATCATCGACAGAAATAATATTTAAAATAGTAATAATAGTAGCGTGTATATATATATATATATATATATATATATATATATATATATATATATATATATATATATATATTAAACTGATATATCTAAAGACATTTAAGACGTAATGACATATGCTATGCATCATCTGATAATATAAATTACACGTACAGATTCGACTAGATAATCAGGAAGAAAACTAAAAACTTTCAATATTGTTCCGTTTCACTCACTTTCCATCAGACAAAGATTCCTCCAGTTTATGAGATCCCGAGACTAATATACAATCCGGGTTGCTATGAGAGATTGGTTTTTAACTGAATTATCCTCTAGATTGGTTGAAAGTACCGACCTCGTCCCATTCAGCACACTTCCGGCCAAGCGCGCAGAGATACGACGGTCTGTGGCGATATGTTGACGTAAGACGCAGAGTGCGCCTGCGTTTTTTTTTTCTCTCTCCCCCCCCCCGCACACAGTACCAGGGGATCAAAAGACTGACCGATCATAAATCAGGTCAGAAAAATGTTAAACAGGTTACATAAATTGGTTAATAGTTTCCTATTTTAGGATATAGGATTCATGTAATATATTGTTTGATTTCCTTTTTTAGTTTATCAGAGTTAAGAGTTAGAAGAGCCGGTTAGTAAATTTGTTGATCACAAGAGTCCTTGTGAGCAACGTTTGCTAAGGATTTGCAGACTCGGTACAAACAAATGGTTATGTATTCTGCATGTTAAACGAGACTGAAGTTAGCTATTCATTTGTAGCTTCCGACTCTTTTGGCTTCTTAGTTGTTGCGTTTTATTCCTTGGCTTAAGTTTCGTATTTGTAGCTTTCCTAGAGCAGTGTGTTCACAGTGGCACGTTGCGGATTTTATAATTTAAACGTTTTGAAAAAACAAAATAACGTATGAATAAAACGTTTAAGGTATTACACGTATATTTATTTTATATAGGTATTTCATAAATCTTAATTTACACAGGCATAATGTGACATTTCTTAAGAGTAAACTGGCAAGAGAGCACCGAGGTGAAATCAGTTTTAGGTTGGATATTCGACGGATATTCAGATCCACACTCTACAAACTTAGAGGCGGTGCTTCACCTACGCTAGACGCCATAAGGCGGTCGAAACACAGCCAGATCAATTTCACAGCCTCGGAGGCGCTCGCGCACCGCTGATTTAGGGACCGTCAACGAATTACTTTCAGAATAATAAAATACTGATTGCTTGCAATGACTTCAATGCAATGGGACCCAGTAACTCCAAAATGAGTGCATGTTCTACAACTACCTGACATACACAGGGACTACTCACTTTTTTACAGTTTATTATATTTTAAATTATCATTTTAAAAGGAAAAAGTGGTTAAATTGATTTCTTTCAATAGTTTCTAGTCAATGGGAGCTTATGACGCCCAAATGGGGGCAAATTATTATACTACCTGAGGCCTATAGGACACAGCAACTTTCATTTGATTTTAACCCTTTGTGTGCTTGATATGATCTTTTGAAAAACCGACACATGGTCAGAGCCCATTGGTGTCATTTAGTGATGCACAAGGTCTCCTTCAGTGTCTAATTCAGACGCAAGCAGTTTTTGGACGTTTTAGTTGCAATGCATCATGGGACAAATATTTGAGGTCCGGACTTAATTCTTTATGTATTTGTACCTCTATACACATCAGAATGATAAGGAGTGTCTCCAACAACTTACCTAGGCAATTTGTGGGTGCTTCGGTCCTCATTTCAATTGTGAGCAAAAAATTCAAACATCGCATGCGTCTGAATTAGACACTGAAGTAGACCTTCAGTACCAAAGGGCTCTGACCATGTTTCGTTTTTTCACGTGCCAGGTGTGAGAATTTGTTGATGAGCAAGGTCCAAGGGAAGCGGGGACTTGGAAGGACGGGAGCTATAAAGGTAAGGCACAGGAGATGTTGAGAACACAGAATAAAAGCTCAGTAGGTCGCATGAAAACAACAATACCTGACATAGAATGTGGGGGTGATCCGGGTATTAAAGGCAGCAGGACAGGTGCAGTCACTTAGTCGTCTGACTAGGGGAGGTGTGGGATGTGACAGTAACTTTCCGAAAATTTAGAGGTGCTATATAGTGGGTTTTATTAACATTGAACATCATTAGGGTGACACAAATTCACAATAAGAATACATATACAGCGGGGAAAATAAGTATTTGACACATCAGCATTTTTATCAGTAAGGGGATTTCTAAGTGGGACACAAAATGTCCACCAGATGTTGCCATCAAGCCAAATATTGAATTCATACAAAGAAATCAGAACACACACACATATATATATATATATATA